TCGGGGCTGAGGGATGGATGCCAGGGCTCTGCCGGGCTGAGGGATGGGTGCCCGGGCTGTGCCGCCCGCTGTGTGGAAGGTGCCCGGCCGTTCTCCCGGCGCTGCTCAGGAGCCTTCCGTTCCCTTTCTCCTGGCATTTCCGACCGGGGCTGGAGCCGGCCGGCTGCAGAGGCCGGGAGCATCGTCCCTGCGCCGGCAGGGTGCGGGGGCCAGAGGCGGCTCGGGGCTCCGCGCCCCGTCAGGGGGAGCGCCCGGCTGGCCTCCCTGCGAGGGGAAGCGGGGCGGGGGGGCGGGGGACAGAGGGGGAATAATTTGCTCTGGAAACGCGGAATTTTAAGTTTCCCGTTACTCGACACCAGACCGTGGGGACCGGGGGAAGTTACCTCTCCCCAGAGCTGTCCTGGCAAGCGCACAAAGGTGCCCGCGTCGCCTCGCAGCTGGGAGCCGCGCTACCTCGCTGCAATTACCCAGCGCAGCGTTTCCTATTCACAGACACTGAATTAATCCTTATTCAAGAATAGAATTTTTTTTCTTTACGGTTTTGTTTTCGCGGCCTCATTTTTCTCATTAGCAACAAAGTTTTCTTCCCCCCCTCCTCCCCTTCCCCCCCACCTCGTCTCACCCATCACAATTTTATCATCCATTAAAATAAAGCACAGTGGGGTGGGTTGGTATTCTCGTTTTCTTTCTTTCAAGCGCCAGCGATCGTTCAACGCAATCATTTAATCATCCCGGGCAATTTTCTTCACCCAAAACCAGACGTGATTTATTTAAAAATGGGGCTAATGGCCTGCGAAAGTTGCCCGCTCGGGCAGAGCCCGCGGCGGAGCGGCAGCACCGTGCTGGCCGGGGCACCGCTGCCCGCAGCCGGCCCGGGCCGCTCGGCGCTCAGCGGGGCCAGGAAGCGAGGCCGCGGTGCCCGGCAGAGGGACAGAGATGTAGCGGGACAGACGGAGGAAGGGCTCGGTAAAAGCACCGCCGATACCGGCGGAGCGGAGAGAGAACCGGGGCAGCACGTGGGGAGGGCAGGAATGAGGTTTCCGTATTGGCCAGGCAGGCGTGAGAAGGGAGAGGAAGCAGCAAATTGCCAGGTTTATTTCGTGTGCTGATGACGACCAGATCCTAACCCTTTTCTCAGAGAAAAGTTGGTTGAATTTCAGTGTTTCTTCCTAGGCTGGGTTTGAGATTTAGGGACAAGGTTGCAAGCCCTCCCAATTGCAGCACACAACAAATGCCTCGGTTTGTTCCTGCTTTGTGAAGAATATTTGCTGACCATCAAAATGCAAGGGTTGCTGCTTGTTTTGACCATTTCTTTGGAGCCTGATTCCTCTTTTGAAAGTCCTGAAGTCACAATTTACCCGGTTGTGTCTTTGCAGGAGGCCAGTTTTACTTGGCAGCAGAAGGTGTGACTTTGTAGCACGACAGTTCTGTCTTGCTGTCTTCTTGCCAGTGTTCCATAGCTCTGCAGGTTTGTTTCCTGTCAGCGTTCCCTAGTTCTCCAGGTTTGTTCCTCTTTGGTTAGGGTTTGTTTGTTTGTTTGTTTCCCAATCAAAATAACTTTTAATTTTTTTTTTTGTAAATTTCCTTCTCTCATGCATATGACTTGACAGAAGTTAAAATAATGTTTTGCAAATAAGTAGGTGCAGTTATTTATACAAGCTGGAAACAATATGTCTGTTAACTGCCAAGCTGAAATATAATGACTTAAAGATTTCAAACACTGTTATATAGATATGTATCTCCAGGCAAAACACTGAAGAGTAGAGCCTTTGAAAAATGAATCTTAATAGGAAAGAACAGGAATAATTGGAAAGTATGGAACTTCAGCTGAGAAAAGAGTTACTGACCGCTGTATTTCTGATTTTCTGATTTGATATTTCTGGGTTTTACATCCAGGTTACAGTTAATATTGGAATGGTTACCCTGAGCAAGTCCCTGTGTCCCTTTGACAGTGGCCTAGGAGATGCCTGGAAGATGGTGAGTGCATGGTGGCTCCTTCCAGGGAAGATCTTGTTCCAGGGACATGGGGTACCAGGATGCCCTGAACCACAATTTTCAGTGACTGAAATATTTTACAGGTAATGAGGTGTAGGAATGATAGTGATTAAAATGACATTTCTAGTTTAAATAATATTGTTTTGTCCTACCACAAATCTCTTCAATTTCCATTTCATCTTCTGTTTTAATTTAGACATGTATTTTTGAATCCACAAACTAAATTTCTTAAGAGGCAAAATTTCTCAGTCATATGGGAAGGGGAGCAGAAGAGTGATAAAAGGAGAGCAGGAAAGAGGAATTTTCTTTCGTGCCTGTCTAGCATGGCAGGAGCTGGAGAGGAACACGCCCGTGGGGGTTGCAGTCACTCTGTGCAATGCTCTGTGTGGTGAGTGAGGCCAGCATCTTGTACTCAGACTCAGAGAATGCAGTGAGAGCACCACTGGAGAGCTGCAAAGTAAGAAAGCAATGCCATCTTTCTAAGTATAGCAGTTAGTTAGTTAACCCAAGCTGCAAGCTCTTCTGAACTTTCAGAAGTTCCTGTCACTTCTAGAAGGAGCTTTAAAATCAGGTTAGATGGGCACCAAAAACACGTCCATGCCCATGTTATACCTGGTCACCTCTGCTAGTAAGGAAGATTCTCTCTAGAAAGATCAACCCTGAAACTTCTGGTGCTATTTAATTTCAAAAGAAGTCTCTCCATGTTAACAGACATTTACATCATCTGTACAGACAGCTCTCTTGACCAGCACAGTGCTGAAGTGCAAA